ACATGTATTGAATGCTGTTACATGCTAGGGGTTCACAGAAAATGACTAATGTTGGCCCAAGAACAATACCCGCGTTTACATTGCAACCCCTCTAGCTTTAGCGGCCTTATCCCTTATGCTACCTGCTACCTTAACGTGCTCAAAGTTATCTGTCCTCCGGCCTCTGGCCCAGCCAGCCCCAGGAAGCAGCGCGCCCCTACAGGGTCCAGCTCAGAGGCCTGTGTCCTCAAACGACGCATCAGCTTCACCTCAGCGCTGTCGCGTTTGCTGTGGCCGCCGTCTTCATCCAGCTCGGATTCACGAGACGTTGGATGCAAACATCACTCCTCTTTCCCTGCACCACTCCCTCACCAAGCAGCACAAAACCTCCTTCAAGCTAGCTATTGCCCCATGCTGTCAGTGTGAGATGGCTCATCTCTCACACAAAGACTGAATTCTGCATCTAAGGTCCGAAGTCGAAGAACAGGGAAAGTCGACAGGTCAAGTGGCCTCCTGCTCCGTTGCACTCCGCAAGACACTGTTCTTGCGGATGAACCTCGGGAGCTGCAGCACTTCCAAATCACCAATTGAAACCTTTAGACGATCCAAAGACTGCACGAACTGGCAAACACCTGTGTTCCAACACATGGCAAAATGGGTGAAAAATGTTGTCATATGAGTCATATGAAAAGAATTCAGAATACATTGTAGTGATGTACGTTGCATGCGTATCTAGATATGCAAGAATGACACTCCTTGCCACCACGAGGCTTAACCTCAGCTTGGCAGGGACCCTGTCTATGCATTCCCTTACTACACTGCTCAAGCAGCCGCTTTGCCAACTCTAAACAGTCTATGAAACGAGACTGACGTGCAGCTAAAGTGCAGCGTAGTGCTTTTCTCCTTCAGCCTGAACAATCTTGGAAGTTACAAAAGAAGTCACTATGTTCAGGATTTTGTTTTTAACATGACGGTGTATTCTTGGAACAGGGAGACCCTCCAAACGCTCCAACCACTGGGATTTAGTTTATTTCTTCTCGGGTCCAATTATTGGCACAGGATCTCGGTGTTTCAGGTGAGAGATTGAGCTCCGGCCTTCATGTCGCGGCAGCGGTACACAGTGGAGAAAGCCCCTTGTCCGAGTGCTTCTTCCAACAGCAGCCGATTTTCAGGCCCCAGCGGTTCCCCATAATCTCCCCGGTAGTATTCCTGCAGCCAAAATCTGTCAAGAAAAATGCAAGGATCTGTCTGAAAAAGAAGTCCAATACTGATTTGGTGAGTCAAAAAGCCTGAAAACACAACACGTCACCCAAGTCCTTCTCTCGGCGTTCCTTGTGCACAAAAATGAGTTAGACTTTTGTAGCTCTATTCGGTTCCACAAAACTCGGTATCCTGACCTGTTTTTCCTGTGTATCTCGCCGGTCATCCAGGTCTCGCTTTGCCTCAAAGTTAACCCTGGATTTTGGGGAAGCCTCCGAACTTTTGCCGCTTGTCAGAGACTAAGTGGTTGGCCTGGAGGAGCATCAGCTGAAGGTTGTGGGTATCCTTCGGCATTGTGGGCTTGGCAGACATGCAATCGAAACTTGTGGCCATCGTAGTCGCTTGCAGGAAGAGAACAAATCTGGAGTACCAGACACCAAGTTTCACATCCATTCAGTAAGTCACGGTATCACACCAAACATAGGTGCATGCCCGAACGTCCGAAGCGCTGCCAATGAGATTGTGTTGTACATTGTGCTGAATTGTTTGTTGGCTGACAAGTGTCGAAACTGCACAACAGGCTGCACAACCTTTGAGGCTACAACATGTAAACTTCGCGGAAAGAATGGAGATCTGAGTCGCGTCTCATCCAGGACTACACGTAGATATCATGAGTTTCCAACAAAAGCTGAGGCGAATACAGTCTAAAGACCATATCGTATTTTAAGGCAGCGTGCGACAATCAGATTTTGCGACTGTGAACACAACAGGACAAATAATACTGAAAAAGCACAACGGCCTACACACCTTTTCTACCGCTCTCGGGCCGCGACGGGCTGTCAGAACAACACCTGCCCCCTATGGAGCAGATGCCCGACGCCGCCTGTAGGTACGCTTCCGTACCGCGGCGTCTGCTCGGAGGCGTTTTGCCTCCTCAGTATCCTTCAGCGCCCACATGCCGTCCTCCATGACCGCGATCAGCTTCTGGTTTCCCACCAGCTTCGTGAGGTCGTCAGCTAGGATCTCTTCTCCTGGGACCCATCTCACCGTCCGAGACCCTCCATCTTCATGAAGCGCCTGCCTCATCGAAGCCACGTCAATGGCCATTCGCTTGTCCTCTGCGAGCGATGTGCCATTCAGCAGGTCGTAGCCAGTCTTGAAGTCCATCACGGCCACCTGGCGCCCGACTGGAGCCAGCTCTTCAGGGAGAAGTTCTTCTCCAATGCTTCAGCCATCAAAGCCCTCAAGAAGTCTGCCTCTTCCATGGCCATCGCCGCCTGAGACACTTCCGCCGCCAGGGATGAGCGCACCACGCGCTTCAGCAGACCTGAGTGGAAAGCCAGGATGTTGACTGGAGCTTCTCCCTCTAGAACTTTAGGGTTGGCCACCAGAAGCACCATGCCACCTTGAGACCGGCCCTTGGGCATTCCTCCAAATGAAGCGTCAGACACCGCCAGCGCCATCATGTCGTTGATGCGGCAACCCAAATGACGAAACACTTGATAGCGGGGTTCCCGAGCTCTCTCCACCAGGATCTTCAGCTCTGAGAGGGCCGTTGGGTCATTGGTGCCATTCAGTTGCTGAATCCTCGAACAACCATACAGCAAATCGGCCCTCACCTGCCTCGCCAACCAGCTCAGCTGGCCAATGATGGTCCCAATCCAGGCCTTCTCGTTGGGCACGGCTGCCGGCTCTGTGGATTGGACCTCGATGGTGGATCTTTGACCTTCTTCGAGTACTCGTTCATCTGCAGGGTGATCGAGTAGTCGTCATTCTGCCTCTCCCACCGACCACAGAACTTGGTGTCCTCCTTCGGGTGCACCCAATCACCAAAGGTAAAAAGGGACTTGAGCTGCGGCCACAACTTCTGTTCAGCTTCTTCGCTCCCAATGAATCGGACATCATCCACGTGGACGGCCAGCATCGCCCAGACTTGCCCTTCAGGGTTGTAGAATGCAAACACTCCCGGCGCTAGTCGAAGCTCCTTGCCGCCAATGCTCATGATGTCCCTGCTGAATCGTTGGTACCATAGGCGAGGACTCTCAGCTAACCCAAATCCAGCCTTCTTCGTGCGGAAGAGGTCAGTACGCGCCCCAGGGGGCACTTTGGTGAGCAGGAACTGGCGCACAAAAAGCGGGTAGTTCTTGGGTGACTGCACGAAAACTCTCCGGCCCTCTGGAAGATAGTCACCCTGCAAGAACGCAGCGGAGATGTCGGCAAAGTACATGCGCCAGCGAAACTGAGCTGCCACAAAGCAAAGGAAGTTGTGGGCAACTAGACTAGCTGTCGGAGCGTCGGTCGCATAGTCACCCGCCCTTTGATCTCGATGCCCAGCAATCACCAACCGCGCTTTGAGCTTCGCCAGGGCCAAGTCGTCATCCGTGGGATGTGTGTTCTTGGGATCAGCCTTGTTCACGAGGACAAATCGACTTGGTAGCACTTCAGATGCATGCACTTCCTCGTCTGGCATCACCGGAGCGAGGGCATCGTGATCGAAGTAGATCTGCAGAGCGTCGATGATTGGTTGCTCGAAGGCCTTTTGCCAAGCCATTGACAGCTGTGTCCATTGCAACTCCAGCCGCATCTTGCCAGTCTCCGGTTTCACCACATCAACCTCCGGAACCAGTAGCAATTGCTCAGCTGTGCGCTACTCAGTCAAACCACGATGGTCGGGATGAGCGGTCGGAGCCGCTGGGGCAGCAGTTGCCTGAAAAGCCTGAAAACACTCCAGCACATCCAAGGCTACCTCCAACCGATGAGATTGGTCAGCATGTAGTCCATCGGCCGGATCAATAAAGTTGGCCGCCTGCCCTTCAGCCACCAACACCTGGTAAGCTGCATTGGCTTTGAGATGCCTCCTCCACAAATCTTCAGCAGCAGCTCTTCCTTGATTCCATGTGGCCAAGACTCACGGGGTCCATAGTGACGAACCGAGTGACACCCCTCCACAATTGATTCATATGCACTGAAGCATTCCAGTCCTTCCAGAAGACGTTGTCCACCAAGTACTCTTTGGACGCCTGGGGCGACAGGTACCCCACCTGAGTAGCCCGTAGACCCTGTAGTCCAGGTACTTCAGAAGGAATACCTTGTGCATCTTGTGGGTGGTCTTCATCAGGAACCACGCCCGGCGCAAAGAGGTACTGTCGAGGTTGAAGGTGCACTCGCCATAGCTCTCGCTGCGAAGGCGCACGCAGCCAATAATCAGACTCACCGCTCAACCGTAGCAACATCTCACCCGGCAGGTTCGCTTCCATGTAGTCACTGAGTTCGTCCAACACTTGAGCACGTGCGCCATTTGGCCACAGGCACTTTGGCACGAACGCATGGCGTTGGGTTCCTCCGCCGGATACCGATCCTCCGCTCGCCATCAGGTCGCCAGTCAGCCTCCAACACATCATAGTCAACATTGATCGGTGGGCACTCCCTCAACATGTCCACCACGTACATATCGTGCGAGACTTCATGGGGGTTGCCCTGATCATCATAGACGCTGGGCACCGCAAACATGTCAACCTCAATGAATGGCGAGTCCATTGACGGTGAAGTCTCATTGGTGTCTTCCGAAAATGGGCTGTAGTATGGGTCTGCACTATTCGGCGCCTCCAACTCGCCCCCTTCTTCAGCGAGCTCACAATCCCGGACGGGCACGACCACCATGGCCTCCTTTTTCTCAAGCTTCGTCTTCATCTTCTTCAGGTGCTCTTGGGTCGATTTGAAGGCAGTCTCATAGAAGTCTCGCTTCTGCCTGACGGATGTCAAAGCTGGATCAACTGCCGAAGACGAAGCCACCGTAGCCCTGATAGACGAAGCTTCCGCATCCAGCTTGCGTCTCGTTGATCTATCAGCTTGCCCTTGGTCTGCTTTCTTTTTGATCTTCCGAGCCACCGAAATGGGCATATCATCTAATACTGAAGTGGCACGGTGGAGATCCTCTACTCGCACGGGCTTGTCCTCAACCGGTTGTTCATCGTCACTGAACTCCACAGGCGGGTACCGGGGATCAGGATCGGCAGGCGCTGGCAAAGGTACCGGCTCATCTTCGGGCACAATGTCTGCATTCACTCTGCCCGACTGGAGTTTCTTCATCAGGTCTTGTAGAGCTTCCTTGGTCACATTTGTGGACTCAATCTCATCTCCAGTTGCCAATCGAACATGCTCTAGAGGTAGTCCACGAAGCTTGTGCCTGTATCTAATCCACACCCCGCTTAATCGCCCCGTCGAACCTTTCCACCGCCACAACCACGGCTGGTCCCACCCAAGACACTTGGTCCTGCAAGCGACGAGCCAGTCCACGACGACTCACAGGCGGCTCGTAGAACATGACCATCGAGCCCTCCACCAGCAGTTCTAACCGAGGCAACCTCGCCCTCGACCCGGCAGCCTTCTTCAATGCATCGCTCGCCTTCAACCACTGGTACGCCTCCGTGGCCGCTCGTCTGATCGAGCTCGCCCGATGGATTGCTTCATCCATGGTCTGAGGGTTGGCTATCTGGAACTTGAACTGACCGGCAATGGCCTCCATCAGGTTGCCTGGTAGGCTCATCTCCTTGCCGAAGATGAGCTGCACCGGTGAAAATCCTGCTACTCGGGACTGCAGGTTCCGGGACGCAACCGCCGAGGCCACCGCCGTTTGCACCTCCTCCAGGCCGATGATGGTCTTCTCCTTGATGATCTTCATGACCAACAGTTTCAAGACAGACCCATGCCTCTCAGCCAGTCCCATCCTCGAGGAAGCACTTGGCGGCACCATGTCATGGTACATGCTGAAAGTCCGGAGGAGGCTTTCCACCTGACCTTGGAATGGTCCGTCATGAACACATTGTGGGCGCCGAAAGCCTGAATCCAACCATCCCTCAGCAGAGACACAGTGCTTTGGGCCGAGGCGTCCACCGTTGCAATCGCCATCTGGTAGAGCGAGAAAGCGTCCAGGACGTGGGTGACTGCAAACTTGGTCGCCTTAGCATCCCAAACATAGAAGGTGTCTGCACAGGCTCTGACATTGAAAGACATGGGCCGTGCGTAGGCAGCTTTAGGGGTGGTGTGTGGTGCCACCACTTGTTTGCAGATCTGGCAGTCTAAGTCCTTGATGGCCTGCAACACCACCGGCTTCGCCCCATTCTGTGACATCATCCGGGCCAGCTTGTCGTTGCTGATGTGGCCCAGCGCCACATGAAGGTGGGCCAACGTGGAGCGCACCTTTCTGCTGAGTCCATTTGAAGCACCCAGGAAGGAGATGTAGTCATACCTGTGAAGGCCGTCTGTCACTGCCATCTGCTGCCTTAGTTGTCCTTCTGCCGTAGGTTCCACCTCCACGGGCACTGCCTCCCACACTCTGGTATCAGGTGTGTGTTGATGAAGCTCAACCTTCATATTCTCGCTCTCATCCATCAGAGCCTCCAATCCACTCAACAGCCAATCGCAAAACCCATCAGGCCATTGCGCCGCCAGTGTCGATCGTCTCACCGATTTCATCTTGCCCAGTTGCTGATCCCAGACTTGGACAGATCCTTCGATCGGCTGGTGTTCACCTGGTTGGCATTCACACAGGCGCTGAGGGAACATCTCTGTTGTGATCGCCGCATGGTTCATCTGCACCACGGTTGGTTTCTTGTGAGGCTTGTTCGTCACTTGATCTCTCATCCTGAAGCGACACATGTGCACCACCCGTTGGTGAACTCGTCGGCGACGGGTCATCATAGGCAGTCGCAAAGCATCAGAGGAGGCCGGCTGCTCAAGCACCACCAACCCCCC